TGCTTTGACTTGGATTCCTGCCTCGAGCGGGGGGGGGGGGTTGAACTCAATGGTCTTAGAGGTCCCCTCTCCGAAATCCATGATTATGTGATTCTGTATTTCTTCCCAGTTTGTAAACCATTTATTTCTGGTTTGAAATGATTACAACAGTTCTAGCTTCGGAAGCTACAGGACTTTGATTTTTTTAGGGACTCGAGATAATCTAGAACATTTTCATTTTGGTATGTTGGTATCGTCGTAAGTTGCATAAACGAGACTCTTAAGTTCTGGTCATTCCACACCATTTTTTTTCTTTCTCTGACCAAAATCCTGTTTCTTAGTGTAGTCATAAATTCCACTAGAGTAGGCCCATTGAGTCAGTTCCTCTCTTAAGTTCCATTGATGCCATGTATTCAAACGGGTCTACTCTAACTGCAACTTAGTATACCAAAGTAAGTGGCATTTAAGAGTAGGCTCATTTGAATCTGTAGCTTATGGAGGAGTCGACTCACCCAGTCCCCATTGATTCAGTGGGCCTTCTCTGGTGCAATTTACTACACTGAGTAATAGGATTTTGTTCCCTGTTGAATATCCCTGGAGGTTTAATGCAAGGATTTAATGCATTAATTTTCTTATGATTAAATCTCACTGGTTTCCATGTTCCATATCTATATGTATGGGCTTGCCCCTACCCACAGGTATGTGAAGGAAAGGTTGGAGAAGTAAAGCATGAGGACCAGGTATTAGCAGGAGAGGGGAACAGAGCATTTCCCGGAAAAGCCTTCTATGTCTTTGTCTGTAAATCGTGTGTATGTTTTTAATATCCTGCCATTATCTCAGTCTACGGACCGAGGATGACTTTCAAATTGTATTTTTTTAAAAACGCACGTAGCTAAAACTGCAATAGTAAACTGGAACTGAATATATGTCATCACAATCATCATCATTTTAGAACTGTTTATATACCACCCAGAGCACTTAAACACTCTCTGGGCAGTTAGCAATTTTAATTATGCAAACTGCACATTGTCCACCCACCCACCCAGCCAGCAAGCTGGTTACTCGATTTACTGCCCTGGATTTACTGAAGGATGTAAGGCTGAGTGAACGTTGAGCGGAGTTTTGACTGCAGTACTGCAGTTTAGCCACTGCGCCCATGAGGCTCTTAAACCATTGAGTTATCCAGCAGTTAAAACCACTGAATTTAAGCAACTTATGACTTCAAAACATGGTATGGAGAACCTTGAAAAGGGTGTTGCCAATGATGATGCTAACCTGTCTCTCTCTCTCTCTTTCCTTGCAGAACAAAGAGAAAGAAAGGATGAAGGAGAGCAAAGACAAAGATGCCCGCTACACCAATGGGCACCTCTTCACTTCCATCACCGTTTCGGGCATGACCATGTGCTTTGCCTGTAACAAGAGCATCACGGCCAAAGAGGCGTTGATTTGTCCCAGTAAGTTAAACACCTTGCATATGAACCTAAGGAGAGAGTGTGCGGCGCCTCTCCCGTGTTCCTCGCTAGGCAACTGACAGTAAGCAGAGGAAATGTGAAATAGTTGCTTAGAAATGCCCCTCTTTGAATTCCCCTTGCGGTCACTTGATCAATGAGGGCTTGCTCGTAGTCAGGAATAGAGCTCTTTCTGCATTTGTGATTGGGGAGGAGTCCAGGTTTGGACTGATTATTAGCACTGATAGGAAAAGTTGGACTTTTGTGGGGATACAGCTTGCCAAATAGTTAACCCATTTCCTGTCTGAAGTGCTGATGGTTAAATGTGAAGCCGCCTTCCTGCTGATTGCATCCTGTTCCAGTAGTCTGTGGGTCCTCTCCAACACTTTGAAATGGTACCAAATGAATACAGTGGTGCCTCGCTAGACGATGATAATCCATTCCACTGAAATCGCTGTTTAGCGAAATCATTATCTAGCGAAAAGCATTTCCCCGTTGGAATGCATTGAAACCTGTTTAATGCGTCCCAATGGGGAAGAATCGTCGTTGTCTAGCGAAGATCGGCCATAGGAAAGCTGCTTTGCGAACCAGCGATCAGCTGTTTAAATCGCTGTCTTGCGCAGCTTAGGTCCCGAAAACACCCATTTTGCAAGCACGGAGGGAGCTGTCAAAATCGTTGTCTAGCGAAAATTGGTTTTTGAATCAGGGACCAAACATTGTCCAGTGAAATTCCCCCAGGGGAAACACTGTTTTGCGAATCGCTATAGCAATCGCAAAAAGTCAATGTCTAGCAAAAAAACAAAAAACTGTCATGCGGGGTAACTGTCTAGCAAGGCACCACTGTACAGCCATATCGCCAGAACCCAGGGATGTTGTCTGGTTTCAAAAGCTAAGCAGGGTCAGGCCTGGTTAAGTAAAGTAAAGAGGTTTCCAAGTAGGATGAGGAATGAATCGTGCCTGAAACCTGGAGAGGCTATTGCTACTAGTTCTGGACTAGTATGTGGTCTCCTTGTCTGTGTGTTTGATTACCACGCCATTAGAACAATGCGCTACTGTGGGCAGTTTACATCAGGATAAAACACAGTAGGCATAAATGAGATGAAGCCAGTAGGGAACACTCGTGCAGAAAATTCCAAGAGGCATAAATTACGGGCTAAAATGGGAATTCCAAGAGGCATAAATTACGGGCTAAAGTGGGAGGCATATACCGTATTTTTTCCATGTATAAGACGATACTTTTGTCTAAAATATTTAGATTAAAAATCGTCTTATACATGGAAGTAAGGAAGAATTCCAAGAGGCATAAATTAACGGGCTAAAATGGGAGGCATATACCGTATTTTTCCATGTATAAGACGATACTTTTGTCTAAAATATTTAGATTAAAAATTGTCTTATACATGGAAGTAAGAAAGGGTGGGAGGGATCAAAGCGCTTTGATCCCTGCTTTCCCCCTCCACTTTCTTGCGAGGAAAGAAATTTTGGGTTAGAAAAGTCTTATACTGGGGGCGTCTTATACACTGAAAAAATATGGTAAGAAGTAAAGCAGCAGAAAGAAAACAAAACACAGACAATAAAAACAAAACCCCACAAAACCAAAAACACATCGGACAGTGTTGCTAAGAAAGGTGTCTGTGTAAAGCAGAATTTTCAAGCGTCTTTTAAATGTTGGGAGGGAGGGAGCCAAGCAAACGAAACTCCACCAGTAGTTAGTAGCAAAGTGTTGGTGCCATCACAAAGAAGGCTCTATTTTTAGTGGATGGTTTCTTGGCTTCCCTTGAAGTGGCTACTTGGAGGAGCATTGCCTGGGATGACCTAGTGGAGTGGGGAGAAGACCTTCGGAAAAGATGCTCCGTTGGGTAACATGGCCCCAAACCATGAAGAGCTTTATAGGTGATCAGCAAAAACTTGAATCTGGCCGGATGCAATCGGTAGCTGGTGTAGATGAGCCAAGAGTGGGGAGATGTGATCAAACTCACTAGAAAGCAGCTGCTTCTGCTCTTAAAATAGAAACACTTCCTTGTTGTGGGATGCTGCAGCATTCAAACTCGCACCTTTGCGGGCTTTAACCTACAATAAACATGAGCTCCTCTCTAAAACTCAAACTAAGGACTTTCAGGTCCTATTGGAGACAAAGAGTCAATATCTAGCTCTGCCACACCAGGGACCGTACCCCAAGTGGTCATGCTGGTATATTATAGTCCCAGGGAGATGGGGGCTGATGGTGACTTTAGGCCCTTCGCTGCAGGAAGCCAACTGCCTTATCACACCAGCAAGCATGCTAGCATTTCAGCAGCAGGAAATTCTGATTGCAGGATAAAATTAGGGTTGGCAGGACCATCTGAGAAGCATCTGCTTCATGCTGATGGGTGGAGGGGAAGCTGTAAGCAGCTTTCTTCTGACGGAAGCACTACCAAATCTAGTCTGCTAACTTCCCCTTCACCCAGCTATGACTACCTTGCAAAAGCCAAAATCTAGTCTGCTAACTTCCCCTTCACCCCCTCCCAGCTATGAGCTTCTGAAAAGATACAGTATTAGTTCTACCAACATCTTCTCACCATAAATAGCAATTACGAAGTTTGTCTCGACCCCAGATGGCAATACGGGCACTGTGCAAGATGTTCATACACTTTGTTTATAAGGAATAGTAGTACGGCAAGTACAGTAGGACCCCCCACATCGGTGGGCTCAGTATTCGCTGGTTCATTTATCCACTGCTGCCTGAAAATTAAATCTCCCAGAGATACATATTCACATGTAATTCCAGAAATGGCCATTAGAGGGAAGCAGAGATCATGCAATGTATAGTGTTTGACATACAGTGATGCACCGCTTAACGCTTACCCCGCTTGACGACAAATCCGGTTCACGATGAAGTTTTTGCGATCGCTTTTGCGATTGCAAAACGATGTTTGAATGGGTTTTTTTTCGCTTTGCGATGATCGGTTCCCTGCTTCGGGAACTGATTCTTCGCTTTACAACGATCAAAAACAGCTGATCGCCGGGTTTCAAAGTGGCCGCCAGGTGTACAGAATGGCTCCCCGCTGTGTTTAGGAAGGCTATTTCGCAAGACAGGGAGCAGAAAATGGCCGCCCTATGGAGGATCTTCGCTGGATGGTGAGTTATTCAGCCCATTGAAATGCATTGAACAGGTTTTCAATGCATTTCAATGGGATTTTTTATTTCGCTTGACGAGGATATCACTTAACAGCGATTGTGCTTAACAGCGATTATCCTCGTCAAGCAAGGCACCACTGTACTGTATCTGTGTTCTTCTTTGTGACCTCTGTGCATCACACCCAGGGTGATCGCGCCTCCGCGGAGCCTCATCGGAAAGTTTCTAGAGCTTATGTGGTAGCAAAAAACACATTAGAATAAGGCCCTCCACCCTCGTACGAGTACCTTGGCGCCAAGGCGCCTCTTTCACTTTTCTTTCAACTGCCGCGTTGAGAGCCTCATAGTTCTGCTTCTGTGAGTAAAAGAGAAAGAGTTTCTTCTTGATTCCTTTCCTGTTATCGCCTTCTGTGAGTAAAAGAGAAAGAGAGTTTCTTCTTGATTCCTTTCCTTTTATCGGTCTTTTTTTCCTTTAAACTTTTAGATCAAATTCATTATCATCAGATTTTTTTTTCTTTTCTACTTCACTTGGCCTCTGGCCACAGCACCCCCCCCCCCAATCATTATGTTTTTTTTCTCCTCAAATTATTTTCTCCTATTCATGGCCCCTTTGGGCATTTGCCCTGACTAGTGCTCAACCGGACAAACAGCAACCGCCAATCAGCCAGTTGCTCTATCCAGCTCGGCCATACCTTCTCATGGCGGGCCTCGATCTCGACAGCCGTCGGTATCAAAACGGCCATATCACCGTGACCCACATCAACTGCAGCCTGCTCCCTACCTGGCACCTGAAAGAGCCATTTCCTTCTACACACAAGGCTTTTACAGCTCCAGCCTCCCAATATTTTCCCGCCAATCCAGACGAGGGAAATCATTCCTCTCGCTCGGCATCTCTAGCATCTGTACACTCCACTGCTTTACAAACTTGTCAACAGCCTCCGTTTCGACATCACCGAGACGCAGGCTCTGATATCGATGATCCTCGATATCCATCTTGGTCCATGGACACTCATTTTGTCCCTCTATCGATGCACAATAGAACCAAGCCATCGAACTCAACATCACTATGACCCCAAGTTCGACACCGATGTTCAACCATATCAAACGACGTCCACGGACACTCGGATGACATCTCTCGATATCGAAAATCCTCGACACCGACAAATGCCCGTGGACATGGTTACCCTTGAATCAGTTCTCCCTTTACTCCACAAAAAAACAAGTGGTTCACTGTCATAGATCTCAAGGACGCATACTTCCATATTTCCATACATCCTTCACACAGAAAATTCCTTCAATTTCAGCTAGAATCACAAGCCTACCAATTCAAAAGGCTTCCTTTCGGCCTTGCAACAGCTCCAAGAGTATTCACCAAGTGCATGGCACCGGTAGCTGCTTGCCTCGGGTTGCAAAAAATCCTCATACAGTGGTGCCCTGCATAGCGACGTTAATCCGTTCCAGGATTGATGTCACTATCCGGATTCATCGCTATGTGGGGGGGAACCCATAGGAATGCATTAAACTCAGTTTAATGCGTTCCTATTGGGGAAAAACTCACCGCTTTGCGGGGAATCCTCCATCCGGCTGCCATTTTGTTGACCCGGTGGCCATTTTGAAACCGCCAATCAGCTGTTTGTAAAACATCACAACGCGAAGCTCGGTAAGCATTTCATCGCAATGCGATGTTTTCCCTATCTAAAACATCGCAATGCGATCGCATTAGCAATCACAAAAAACACGTCGCTATGCAGATTCGTCATTAAACTGTGCGCTCGTTAAGTGAGGCACCACTGTATTTCCATATATCGACGACTGGCTCCTCGTAGCTCATTCCCATCGCAAGGCCCAACGAGATACTGACTTCACCCTTACCCCCTTTTGCAATCTCGGTC